TTCCTAAGAAAAAAGAAGAGAAAGAAGAAAAGAAAAAGAAAGAAAAAAAGAAAGAGATGGTTGGTGAGGCTGAGAAGGTTGTTGAAGCTGATAAGAAGAAAGAACAAAAAAAGAAAGATAAAAATAAAGATGAAAAAAAGGAAAAGGAAGAGAATGAAAAAAAGGAAGAGGAAGAGAAAAAAGAACAGAAAAAAGATGAAAAGAAAAAGAGTGTTAAAAGGAAAAAGGATGTGGTTGCTGATGTTGTTGCTGAAGCTGAAGTTGTTGTTGTTGCTGAAGCTGAAGATGTTGTTCAAGAAGAACAACAACCAAAGGAAAAAAAGAGAAGGCGATTTCTAAGGAAAGCTGATTTTTATGTTACTGAAGCTGAAGACAATGATATGAAGAGAAGGCGTTTGGTTGAAGATCCTGGACTTGAAGACTTTAGTTCTCAAGATTTTGGTTTTCAAGATTTTGCTTCTCAAGGTTTGGATGCTGGTACTTCTCATAATTTAGAAGTTGGTGCTCCTTCGATCTCGTCTTGTTTCGTTTGAAGTTCCTGGTGAAATTCAGACAAATAATGAAATATGTCAAATTACAAAGAATGTGAGTTTTCTAACTTTTTATATTATTATTATTAGTGTTAATTGAGAAGTTAGTATATTGAGTTACTTGTATTATTTTTAGTGCTTTTTAGAATTAGTATATGTAGTTACTTGTATGTTTTTTGAGTTACTTGTATGTTTTTTATAGTTAGTATATGCAGTTACTTGTATATGTATGTTTATATTTTTTTTACTTTCAATTGGAGATTTAATTTGGAGTTACTTGTTTTTTTTTTAAAGACTGTTGAAGTTACTTGTTGTAGACACCCATTTGTGTCTCCCCAAAACCAAACCCAGTGATGAGTACCTTTCACGTCGAATCATAATCGAATGAAACGAAAGTGTGGAAAAGTTTAGTGTTGCGGAAAGTTTTCTTTTCTTTTCTCTTCTCTCTGTTTTTGAAAACTTTATTTTAAGAAAACAGCCAATCCAGTTTGGTTGGTCCATGATATGGGTCCAATAGTGGTGTAGTTGGATGGGGCTTGCAAAGACCTTTCCAACGATATATTATAAGCCCAATTCCGATGAATATTGAGGAAGTTATGGCCAATTTACTAAACTGGGCCCGGTTTGAGCTTTATGTACGGCCCAATGATCTAGGGGAGGGTCTAATATGATTTATCATTCCTAATGTAATTAGGAATGGTTTTGGTCTTCTAGAACATTCTAGAAGGTTCTTATCATTCTTAATTCAATTAGGATTCTTTAGAGTTTTAATTAGATCAAATAGCATTTTCGACTGAAATTATATTATTTTATCTTCCAGTACGGGAATTTTATCAGAATTTCGAAAACGCGTTAAAAGCCGGTTTGGCGTCCAACCCCAGGCCTTGGCGCCTGGAACCAGGATTGGCGCCAGACGCCAGCCATTGGCGCCTGGCGCTAGCCACTGGTCCTGGCGCCAATGAGCCAGGGCTGGCGCCAAGGTGGTTCTGTGGTCTTCAGACTCTCTTTTGATAAATTATCTTTTTTTGGCTGATTTTCTCTATATTGTATCAAAACTCCGTTTTCATGGACGGATTGTCAACACGAATACACCAACTATCTACATCTATTAATCAATTCTAATCAATTCTCTTCATTCATCATCTTTCGTTCATCAATCATCAATAACATTAATCTTTTAGCATTCTTTCTAAACTTTACTTTTTCAACCAAAATTCCGCATTCACAAGATCTTGATACATCTAGCCATATTCGAAGTTGCCTTCGCCCTAGACGTGAAGGTTTAATTTCTGAGGGTTTGGTCCCAAATCTCTCTTTCAATTACTTAATTTAATTGTTTTGATTATTATTTTCCTTGAAGTTACTAACGTGTGTATTTTGTAATTAGAAAGAGGTACGAGGCATCCAAGTAAGTACTTTATTGATTTATTGATTTTATGATGTAGACATCATGTTTATATTGTTATTATGATATTCCTAGTATCATGTCTAGGGTATCTTTAATATCAAGTATGATTAAAAGTATGATGCCTCCTATATTCTCCCTAATATTTATGATTATTATTATTAATTATCATGATTATTTATTATGTTGCTTGACACATATTATATATTGTTATTGCTTGATCACCTTTTATTGCAGGTTAAAGGGAATTGGTATTTGCAATCACGCTTAATAAGATAATTAATAATCTTGTTAGGGTTAATTGTGATTATAAATTCAAGTGATCGCCAATAATAGTTTATTTGTGCATTAAATTCAACCAACATAAATTAAACAAGTTTAGGGTTAATCCTATTGATTGTATGTTAATCAGAAAGCGCACATGAATACGAGCAGAATAAAGTAGAGGCCTATTATTAGGGCAGGTTCAATCTCTTTTAGGTTGGATTTGTACCATCATCTCCGGACCCTTATTTGGTTCATGACCTTATGGAGTTGACGATCTCTTGGATCGTTAAGGGGTGTAACCTTCACCTCGTGAACGGTTTACAAGTTCCTTAAAAACTTGTTGGCGACTCTTTTGCTCTATCTTCTTCCCTTTTGGACGCCACCGTACTTTAGTGTATGATCACAGTGAGGTTCAAACTAGTGGGATTTTAAAGGCTTGAAATTATTCCCTACACTTGTATATTTATGTTTTTATTTGGAGTTACTTGTATTTGAAGTTACTTTTTATTATATTATTTTTAATTGTATTTGGAGTTACTTGTATGGGATTACTTGTATGTTCTATTAGTGTTACTTGTATTTTTGTTAATGTTAATAAGAATTACCTGTATTTAGAGTTACTTGTATTTATTTATGTTTTATTATTTTTACTTGTATATTTATTGATTACTTGTATTGGTTACTTGTTTTTGCAGTACCTTTTATAGATTATAATGGGGTTACTTGTATGTATAGCTATTGATTTATGTATTAAAGTGGTATTACTTGTTTGGGGTTACGTGTATGTATAGTTACTTGATTTATGTATTAAAGTGATGTTACTTGTTTTAATATGAGTTACTTGTATGTATTGTTACTTGTTTTATGTATTCAGTGGTATTACTTGTTTTAATTTGTGAATCTATTTTATTTGTAGGATGTGGAAAAGAATTACATGCTAATGCAGAGGGACATGAAGTTAATGTCTTTTCAATTTGAGCATTATGTTGAGTCAATGAAGCAGCAATGGAAAGCTGTTGAAGTTGATTCTCCCTGAAAAGGAGAAATCTCCTGTGCTTTCTCAGCTAGATCCGATGTATAATGATCAGGCATTTTGGGATCAAATTGATAAGGTTGTGAAACAGAATCTTGAAATGAAGAAAGTTGTTGATGAAATGCCAATATTTAATCTCTTTTCTTCAACTGATCCTCAACTTGGTACATATGAAAATCTGTTACCTATTAATGATTTTCAGAATATTATGAAAAATGTTGGTGCTGAACAAATTCCAGTTGAAGAGGATTATGTTCTTGATAATTCATTGGGTGCTGATAGTGCAAAATTAGTTGTTGAAGATATTTTAAAAAGTATTAATCTTCAAGAGATTAATGATAGTGAACCAACTAATGATGCACAAGATTTGAATGCAGAAGACGGAACTTCTTCTGCTGTTGATGCCCAAGCTCTTAATGCAGAAGAAGTAAATGTTGTTATTGCTGATGTGCAAGTTGATACACATTCTGATGTTCCAAAATCAGATGTTCCTGAATCTTCTTCTGTTCCTGTTGAAGAAAAATCTGATGTTGCTTCTGTTCCTGCAGTTAATTCATTGGCAATAGTTCCCTTCAGTCCCATTGTCTCAAGCCAGAATCTTGTATCAACTAGCCAAGTTGAGATAAGTCAAGATATTTTTCAGAGTCTTGAAACATTTTCTACACTTCCAAGTCAAGACATAAGTTCAACTGAGATTATTTTGTTAAGCCAGGAGATTTTTCCAACTGAGATTATTGGCGTGTCAAGCCAGGAGTTTAATCCATCTACTCAGTATCTTTCAGAAGTTATTCCTGTTTCAACTCAAGATAATAGTCAACAAAATGCTGAAGAAGTGATTCATATTACAACTCAACAATATCTTGATGGAATTAGGGAAATAAAGAGAAGTGACAAATCTGTATCTTCTCAGAAAAAGGTGTCTGCCAAACCTGCTACTTCTTCTGATGATGCTCCTCAGAAAATGAATACTCAGAAGAAGAATCCTCAAAGAAAGGCTTCAAGTCAAGCACAAGGAATAACTTTTGATGAAGCTGGGATGCCTGATGGTGAGGAGATGAAAACTACTTCTGATGATAGTGCAGTACAATCTGCTGAGTTAATTAGCTGTGATATTGACTGTGGTGCACATGGTGCTTATAAATTACAGTTAATATCAAAATTTATGAGGCTTAATTGCAAGAGATTATCAACTATGAGGAGCCTACGGTTGATGGTTGCAGATTATTGTTTTGCTCAGAATTATTTTGGAGTGGATATGTCGTAAGTCATTTTATCATTTTTTCTTTAAATATTGCACTAGGGGTTAGTTGTATATTTTACTAATGTTACTTGTTGAATTAGGGGTTACTTGTATATTTTATTAATGTTACTTGATATATTCCACTAGTATTACTTGTTATAGTTCACTAAGGTTACTTGTTACAGTACCTTAGGATTACTAGTTACATTGCCTTAGGGATACTTGTTATAGTTTTAAGGGTTACTGGTTATAGTTCAGTAGGGTTACTTGTTATAGTTCTCTAAGGTTAGTGCCTTATGGTTACTTGTTATAGTTCACTAAGTTTAGTGACCTACGGTTACTTGTAAGTTTTAGGGGTTACTTGTAATCCTAGAACCCCTTGAATACTTGTTATGATATACTAATGTTACTTGTAAGGGTTACTTGTAAGAATTTACTAATTACTTGTAAGAATTTACTAATGTTACTTGTAAGGGTTACTTGTTATAGTTCATTAAGGTTAGTGCCCTAGGGTTACTTGTAAGTTTTAGGAGTTACTTGTTATTCTAGAATCCCTTGAATATTTGTTATGAATACTACTTTTACTTGTAATGTTACTTGTAATAATTTACTAGTTACTGGTTTAAGTATTCATTTATTAGGAGTTACTTGTTAGATTTATGTGTTATTTTTAAATTTTTGTAAATGGCTATATTTCCCTTACTTATTTATTTTGTATGTTGAAACATGGAGATTCTCGTATATTATAATGAATTTTACACTTTGCCTAGAGAAGAATTTTTGACATTGTTCCAGAAGAAATTGATTTCAAGTTGAATTTTGGATTGTTTTTTTATCTTGCTGAACTATGTTGAGGTTAAACAAGATAATGAAAAACCAAGATTCTTTTTTGGTGGTGAACATATGGTAATTTTATAATACTTTGATATAATTTTAATTTTTTTTTTATTTATGTTTCTATTTCAAAGTTTTATATATATTTTTTGTATACAGTTGCCTCTTTTGCGTTGTATCTATAATGGAGAAGGCAACATATATGATAATGAAATATTCGGGGCATGGGATAGTGGATTGAATCAGTCAATGTTGTGAACTAATAGATGCATTGTTGGTATGTTTTCTCTTTTTACTGTTTTATCTCTTGATTGAATTTAGTTTATATTGTTGTATAGGATACTTAAGTTGTGCTGTTTTTTCTTGTGTAGATATTCATACCAATCTACTACGACAATCATTATTCAGCTGTTTGTATAAATTTCTACACTCAAACTGTTGATTACTTGGACAATCAAACATATTCAATGCATGTAGAAGTTGAAAATAAGGAAAAGAAAGGGAAAGGTGCAAACACAGTGGGTGCCAAGAAATTCAGAATTTCAACAAATTTTAATGAATTTCACACTGCTTTTTATACTCTCACATGGCACTTGGTAAGATTTGAAATTTTCTCAAAATTAGAAAAGTAATACTTGAATACTTGTGTTTGGAATTACTGTGGTTACTTGTTCTGGGTATTACTAGTATAAGTTTTTTTTTAGGGATATTACTAGTATAAGCTATGATTTAATTTTATGTATGTGTTACTTGTATGGTTTACTTGTCCTGTGTTTGAATAACTGGGGTTACTTGTATTGGGAATTAATGTGGTTATTTGTACTGGGGATTACTTGTATCTGTTATAGGTTTAGGGGTTACTTGTATTTGGAATTACAGTGGTTACTTGTACTGGGGATTACTTGTATCAGTTATGATTTACTTTTATATATGTGTTACTTGTATGTGTTACTTGTCATGTGTTTGAATAACTGGGGTTACTTGTACTGGGGATTACTTGTATCTGTTATAGGTTTAGAGGTTACTTATATTTGGAATTACAGTGGTTACTTGTATTTGGATTACTTGTATCAGTTATAGATTTTATTACATGTATGTGTTACTTGTATCAGTCATAGGTTTAAGAATGTGTTACTTGTATCAGTCATAGGTTTATGTATGTGTTACATATATGGTTTAATTAATAAAGATGTAAACTATGGTAATTGAATAATTGGAGTTACTTATATTCAAGATTTTATAAAGGGTTACTTGTATTGTGGATTACTTAGCTTGTATCAGTTTTACCAAAACTGTAGTTAATATATATTTTTTTTCAGAGACTTTATATGTCAAAATATTTGGTTTCAAAAGGCCATGATAATGGAGAATTTGTCAAGGATTTCGAGATTCGTATGATTCCCCTTGATTCTCAAAAGTGTGCTTCTGAAACAAATGACTGTGGAATTTTTTGTTTGTACCATTGTGCCACATATAAAGGGAAACCTTTTAAATGTAAAAGTTTGACTCAGGTACAATATTTATCTTTTAGTTTTTATTTTATTTTATTTTGTTTTATTTGAGTTAATACTTATTTATTCTAAATGTATATTGTTTTATAGGCATTGGAGAGACGTCGTTTTAGAGCAGAAATATGTGCATCTCTGGTTTTATGTAATTTGAATTTGTGTCGAACTGATGTTTTGAAAAGTGTGGATGCTTTTTGCGACAACAATCAAGAGATTTATGCTGAAGTCATTCTCAATGAGGAAATTGCAAAGGCTAATAAATCGACTCGGCAAAGTTTGAAGGCTAAGAAAGCAGGAGGAGGAGTTTAAAGATGAAGATGGCTAAACAGGGGAATGTAGCAGAAGAGGAAAAAGAAATTAGAGCCAAAGAGAAGAGAGAAGAAGCAGTTCTGATTGCTGCAACTATAGGTGCAAAGAAAATGGCAAAGAAGACTAAAGATGCTGCTGCAAGAAAGAAGTAAGAACTTCTGGAAAAAAAAATTCAGTTAGTAATATTGAACAATTTTTTTTATATGTTGAAAACTTTATTTTAAAATTTTCTATAGTAAAGTTTGTAATTAAATTATTAAAACTACATTATTACATATATATATATATATATATATATATATATATATTATATATATATAGTTATGGTTACATGTTGTGGTTACTTTTATTAGTAGTTACTGGTATTTTTGATTACTGGTATTTTTGGTTACTTGTAGATATTTGTATTTTTGGTTACTTGTATTGGCTAATAGTATTAGAAGTTACTTGATTACTTGTATAATTGGTTTTTTGTTTGATTATTTGTTACTTGTATTATTGGTTACTTGTTTTGCATTATTGGTTACTTGTTTTACTTTCTCAAAGTGCCCTTTTATTCTTTTGTTTCTTTCTTTTGTGTTTGCTTTTTCTGGATCCATGACTACAGGAATTTCTGAATCTCGTGAAGCTTCTTGGTGATCATTTGAAGTTTGCTGTTGATTACTTGTTGCTTCCTAATGATCAGATAAGATTTCCTTTTCCTTGTTCTTTCGCAATTACTTGTTATAAGTTACTTGTCTTGTGGTTACTTGTTTTGGGGTAATTGCTCTGTGGTTTCTTTTGTGTATTACTTGTTTTGGGTTTACTTGTTTTTGGGTTAGTTGTTTTTGAATTAGTTGTTTTGGGGGTTACTTATTATGAGTTACTTGTTTTGGGGGTTACTTGTTTTTGGGGTTACTTGTTTTGGGAATTACTTGTTATGAGATACTTGTTTTTGGTTACTTATTACGAATTACTTGTTTTTGGGGTTACTTGTTATGAGTTACTTGTTTTGGGGGCTACTTGTTTTGGGATTATTCATTCAGATAAACATGTAATTCATTCAGTAGGAAGCATATTTATTACAAAGATAACTTAATAATATAAACTTATACATTAGAATCATTTTATGCATCAATAGGAAGCCTTTCAATACCATCAGCATTAAAAACTCTAATGTAAATAGTATCTTTATCATGGTAAACATCAAGTATGTCTCCTGGAACAATGTTGTTAGCAACTATGAAGTTTTCCCATTCCCAATCAATCAACATACCACCACAATTTCCTGTATCTTCTGGTACACTTATCACCCTTACTTCCCAGAATCTGCCTTGTCTACCATTATTCCCACTGTAGACTCTAACGTGATGTGTGAGTTTTAAAAGAAATGTCCTCCATTCTCCAGGAAGCGGCTGAAATAAAAAAAAATGAAATCATTAAAAAAAAAATTTCAAGAAAAATGAACAATTAAATGTATAAATTTAAAACACATAATGAATGTATAAATTTATAACTTAATGTAGAATATATTTACCATACTAAGCTGATGAATTTGCCTAAAATTAATTGAACATTTTCCCATATTTGCGTAGAAATCAGCCATTTTTCCTTGTTTGAAAAGAATGTTGTATAGGAGAAGAAAAATATTCAACCTTATATAGAAATAATATAGGTTGTTAGGTTGTTAAATATAATTCTTTTAATAGGAAACCTTGGTTTTTAAATAGAAAACCTTTATTTTAACCAGCCTATATATAGAAAAATGCTATGTATGAACAACATTATTAACCTGTAATTTAGTCAGATTTGCTGTGAAGAAATGATAACTTTAATCAGGCTTTTTTTTTTTTACTTTTTCATCATGCAATAAATTCTTTTTTTAGATTTGTATGACTTTTTGATGAGGGGATAAATTACTTTTTCAGTTTTAGTTGACTTTTTCATGACTTTTGTTGTTTTTGTATGACTTTTTCAGCAATTATTGAATTTTTTCAGATTTATAATTGAATTTTTTCAGATAATATTCATTTTGCTGACAAATTTGATGTTATTGCTGACAAACAACATGTGCAAGAAATGAATTTTTCAGCTTTGTATATCTTTTCAGCAATAATATTTATTTTTCAGCAATTGAGGTTAATTGTTTTGTTGTTACTTGTTTTGGGGTTACTTGTTTTGGAATTACTTGTTTTGGGGATACTTGTTTTTGGGGTTACTTGTTTTGGGGGTTACATGTTTTGGGAGTTACTTGTTTTGGGGGTTACTTGTTATGGGTTACTTGTTTTGAGGGTTACTTGTTATGGGTTACTTGTTTTGGGGTTACTTGTTATGAGTTCTATTACTCGTTTTTTATTTACATATATAAATAATAAGAGGGTTACTTGTTATACATAATATGAATAATAGTAGAGTTACTTGTATGTGTTAGTTACTTGTATGAGTTATGAATGAGAAATGTTACTTGTAAGAGTTTTGTTAATAAGTTACTTGTATTTATATCAAAAATAGGATGGAAGTTGGTTACCTGTGATACATATGATTTAAAAAATGAGGTTTACTCAATAATTCAAAATGTCTATAATATAAAAATTGAACAAAAATCTGTAAGTCAGTAATTAGAAATGTTACATCAGTAGGAGACTAAAATAACTTTGGGTTTTGAATTGGAGTTATTGTTCCAAATTCTCTAGTATTTCCTTTGACTTGCATAGCTTTTGTTTTTTTTTTTTTGCTTTAGGTTGTTTGCCCTTCTCAAAGTGCCCTTTTATTCTTTTGCTTCTTCCCTTTGTGTTTGCTTTTTCAGGATCCATGATTGTAGGGATTTCTTCCTCATTTTGCTGATCAGTTGAAGTCTTCTGTGGATTACTTGTAGCTTCCTATTGAGCAGATAAAGTTTCTTTCTCTTTCTTCTTTTGCAATTCCTTTTTGAATTCATCTGCCTTCTCTATTATCATTCTGAAATGTGCTTCAACCAATTGTCGCGTTTCTTTGTGCTCTTGACATTGTAAAAGTAGATTGTAGCTTCTTCTAGCCATTATGTCTCCAAGGCATTAATTTGTCTGGCTGAGATTCTTTTTCTGCTGCATCATCATCTTTCTTTTTCCAAACATGTGCTTTTGCCATTTTACACCATCTTGTTGAAATGTATAAGCTAGGAATTCTTGTCACATTATGATGATGCAAAATCTTTATACAATGATAACAAAGCCATCCAATTTCTTCAAAATTCTTGCAAGAGCATCCTATTTTGTTTTTAGCTTTGTTAAATGTAACATATTGCCTGCTGCTGTCATCATACTCAATCTGCACCTGATAAAGATAAAAATCTCCCACAGTACCATGATGATAGGTTATGCATCCAATTGAGTACATGAATTCTGTTTCAAAATATGTGAAAATAGTTTTTGTGTATAATTCAGAAGCATGTTTAAGTAATCCAATAAAAGGAATACTTGAAGTTGGGTTGGAATTTGAACATTTAAAATCAGCATCAGACTCATTCTTTCTCCACCTCTTCACTGTTTGATTGAAAATTTTGAAGAAATCTGTCAGGCTTGTGTTTTTGTTGGCCTTAAACCCAACTGCATTATTTGCACTTTCACTTCTTTGTGATGATAGTATACCAGTAGAAAAAAAGTCTTTACTTAATGTTGTACACCATTTTTCTCTCAGACCATACAACCTTTTAAACCATTTATTGTTTTCAAGTTTGTATTTGGCAATCATAGAATCCCAGCATATCTGTAAATTCAGATTTACAAGTAATGGTTTAGAATACAAATAATTAAGAATAAAAGTATTATTATGGTTACTTGTTAAAAGTATAAGTAATAGTTACTTGTTAAAATTTATGGTTACTTGTTAAATTTATAAGTAACGGTCAGGTCTAAACTATACAAGTAACCATAAAACCATTGTTAAAATTTGTTGTAAGTGTACATCTTACAAGTAACCATAAAACCATTACATGTAACCTCATAATTATAATGGTTACTTGTATTATGTTACATGTAATAGTTACTTGTTACTTGTATTAGATGGTTACTTGTATTGAAGTTACTTGTATTATATAATTTCTAGTGAGATTACTTGTATTATATGTGTTGTATTATATGTTTACTTGTATTGATGTTACTTGTATTATAGTTTCAAGTGAAGTTACCTGTATAATATGGTTACCTGTATTGAGGTTACTTGTATTATTTATTATATGGTTACTTGTATTAAGATTATTATATATGTTACTTGTATTAGGAAGATAGTTATATAATATCCTGAAATTCTTCCTCTGTCACACATCCTGAAAGACATTTGTTGAATGCATCTTTGAATGAGGTATCTCTTTTCAGTGCTCCAAACCTTGATACAACATTCTTTATAAGATGCCAAATACATAATTTGTGTCTTGAGTGAGGAAAGACCTACAAAATTGAAAATGAATTATACTGCTATAATTCTGTTGTCTTTTTTATTCTTTAAAGAGTTGATGTTGCTGAAATTATAAACTAGTTCATAAATCACCTTTTCAATTGCTTTAGACATTGCCAAGTCTTGATCTGTAAATATTGAAGCAGGTTCACTACCACCCATTGACTTTTTAAATGTGTCTAATACCCACTCAAAAGTTTCTTTTTTCTCATTTGCAATAAAAGCACAGCCAAACATTACATTTAGCCAGTGATTATTGAGACCAACAATAGGGGCACAAATAAGATTATATTTGTTTGTCCTATATGTGGTATAAAACACAACAACATCTCCATAAATTTGAAAATCTTCCTTCATTTCAGAATCTCTCCAAAAAATAGCATTCAGTTTGTTTTCATTTTCACCACCTCCTAACTTAAATCTGAAAAAGAAATTCAGAAGTTACTTGTTTTGGTAATAGAAGTTACCGGTATAAGTAGAAAAAATTAATGGAATTTGGTTTACTTATTACTATAAAAAGTAGGAGTTACCTGAAGAAGAAATCTTCATCTTCTGCTTGCTTTTTGTATAATTTATCTATTACAGTTTGTGCATCACCTCCTTGAATTTCTTTCATCTTCTTCCTTGAAATGTAATTGTAGTGGTCTGTCAGAGTGTGTCCTACAAGTTCTTCTCCACCTGCTTCACTACTAATTAATCTATATGCATCTGCTGGTCTTAATCCACTGTCTGCCATTAAATCAATGACTTTTCCCTTTTCTTCTGTTATCTTTTCTCTGATCTATGTAAATGCTGCCAAACACTTCTTGTCAACTCATGGTTATGTGCTATAACATGCTGTTCAACTACAAACATTCCTTATTTGTTTTTTTTTTTGCTCTAATGAATGCATGACATCCTATCCTAGTTTCAGGAACTTGATGTGTTCTTTTTTTCTTTTGTTTTCACTTGGTGGAGGGGGTGTTCTTTTAGTTTTTGGTACACATCTGAACCCTTCTTTAGAACAAACAAAATCCTTTCCTTTGATTTCTCTGTGTTGTCCTTGTGTATATCTTGTTGTTGAATGTCTTATACTAAATCCTACAACCATAGCATGAAGCCTATATTGCTCATATATTTCATCCAAAGTTGAGGCTGTAAAACCATGTAGACTTCCTGCGAAATCATTCAATTGTAGTTCAGCTTGATTTCCACTTTCTTCTGTCAATGTACTATGACTTGTTTCTGCAGGACTTGTATTCAATTCTGCATATTGTAAATTGAAGTTAGGAATATACAGCTGGAAATTGATACAATACATAGGATTTATAATATGCAGGGGATACTTTTGTTACTTGTTATGAAATATAGAGATAACTTGTTAAAATACATGGATTACTTGTTTATCCAATGGTTATATGTCATATACAGGGTTACTTGTTGCAGTAGCGGATTACTTGTAAGCTTTTTAAAGTAGTTGATTACTTGTATAATATGAGGTTACTTGTTATTGTGCACTAGAGTTACTTTTTGCACTAGGATTACTTGTAAGCTTTTTAAATTAGTGGATTACTTGTTTTCCAATGCTTACTTGTATATAATCAGGGGTTACTTGTTAGAAAGCACTAGGGTTACTCATAAGTTTTTAAAGCAGAGTTACTTGTTCTTAGTTATTAATGACATTATATGGAGTTACTTGTTAGAATACACTAGGGTTACTTGTAAGCTTTTTCAAGTAGTGCATTACTTGTTATCCAATGGTTATGTGTATATAATCAAGGTTTACTTGTAAAAAATTTCAAGTAAAATTACTTGTTAGTTTTATTCTAAGTGTTATACATTTGTAGGGGTTACTTGTAATCCTAGTATATTATAGGGGTAGATTATAGGGTTACTTGTAAGCTTTTTCAAGTAGTGGATTACTTGCTAGTTATTAATGACATAGTGTGATTACTTGTTGAACTAGTGTTACTTGTAAATTTTTTAAAGTAGTTATTAATGTCATAATATGAGGGTTACTTCTTTCAAAAATAAAAATAAAAATATGAGGGTTACTTGTAATCAGGAGTAACTTGTTTTTACTAGTATATAATACGGGTTACTTGTTTTTACTAGTATTGTTTCGGGGTTTTCTGATGTCCTGCGGGAGAGTTACAATTCCGAGACTGGAACCGGACGCCTGTACCTGCAAAATAACGGAGACTCCTGAGAGCTCCGCCTCCAACGGTCAAGTTAGTACCTGATTAAGGAGTAATTAATACAGAAATTAAAGGAATAAGGTCTCTCTAGGTGAGAGTATTTAATGTAGGTAATCTGCTTTGCTAGCGAGATCAGCCGGTTATTAGTGTGTTCCGTAATGTTTCTCCTCTGTTCTGTTAATTATTCGGTCCCTTGATTAATGAGGATTAATCGAGTATTTATAGCCTTGGGAAGCGTGCAACTCTCTAGGTTTAAGGTAAACCTAGGGCCGATCGGGCTTCTAGACTGAAATGGGCCTTGATGGCCGGTTGTCCCATTTGGCATGGGTGGACACGTGGCGTGTCTTAAGTGGTCCGTGGAGGACGCGTGGCGGAACCTGGTTGGTCCACTTGTCAAACGGCGCTTGGTGGATAAAAATCCCCTAATCATTTGCCCCTCACAGGTGGCACGCGACTGGTCACGTGTCGCCTGTGACAGGTGTCGCACGGTGACAGGCGACGGCCCGTTACAGGTGTCACCTTGCAGACGGCCGGGAGATTCTCCCGCCCAAATTTGAATTCGGAAGCGACCCTTCGCCTTCTCATTTTGCCTATAAAAGGAAGTGTTGACTTCGGTCATTTTCACATTTGAGAATTTTTGCGAGAACATTCGGACCCCTGAACTTGCTCTGACATTTTCGGACTTTTTCTGCCTACCGCCTGTTCTGACAAGCCGACTGACCCGAACTTTCAGGACTTCATCAACTGTCATCCGTTCAGGTAACTCAGTTCTCTTACTCTTAATTTTCTTTTTATTTTTTGAAATGGCACCATGGAAGCACACGACACGCCCTAAGTTAGTGATCAGCCGGTCACCGGGGACGGCTGAATCTAGGACTAGGAGTGCCGCCTGCCCTCTTCTGGACCCATCTTTGCCCTTTATACAAAGTCCGACTGAATCTGTGTCTATGCAGAACGTGATGGCCAGAACAAAAAAGACTGCTAGAATATCAAACTCAGACGGCTCCTCCCAAAGGGTACTCCTTAGCGAAACATCTGACCAGGCGCCAGATGTGGAACGAGGCGACTGTCAAGCTGACAGTTCTGAGAGAGGGACCAAGGTGTTCCCTTCTCATCTAACCGTGGACATGTCTAATTTACCTTCTGCTCCTTCTAAGGGAGAGGAGGCGGGCCCCTCTAGGAGAGGGGAGGAGTCGTCCTCTTCGGACTCGTCAGGGGACGAGTCCGATTCCAGCTCTTCTGATCATAGTTCTTCTGACTCAGAAGAAAAACATAACCGCCTACAAGAGGCGAGAAGTTCCCATGCAGTGGAGAAGGGGGATAATTGGGCAGAGCCGTCCGCCTCTTACAGAGAGGAAAACACCCCCTACTACTGCAGGGTGCCCCGGGGCCGGATCGCAACCATGCGAGACAACGTGGCGAGCTTTATTGCTAACCACAAAATGGGCCCGGAGTATTTACTGTTTGTGCCGGATCCAGAAGATACCGTCGTCTGGCCGGCTGGTACCAGCTATGGTGACGGCTGTTTTGGCTGCTATGTGGCGGCCATCAAAGCTGGTCTGCGCTTCCCATTACATCCGGCTGTTCAGCGGATTTTAGATGGGTATGATCTGGGGTTATGGCAGTTAGCCCCCAACTCTTGGGTAAACGTACTCGGCTATGTGGCCGGGTGCGAACTGAACGGGGTGGAGCCAAGTTTTGAGGCTTTCGCCCACATGAACTATCTCAGCCGGACCCCTAAGTCGGGAGGTACCGGCTGGTATCAACTAACAAGCCACAGGGGTTACCTCATGACGAGAGGTAAGGCAAACAAATGGAAGGATTGGCGGAACACCTTCCTTATTATCGAGAGTTCAGACACGGAGCTGAACAAACGTTTTAACAAGTGGAACAGGGATCCGCCTCTTCTTGCAGGCGGCCGCAGCATGCCGCCTGTTCCCCCTAAGGCTAAAAGAGAGATCCTAGACAAAGGACTCTTCAAAGTAGAGACTAGGGTGAACTCTACTTCAGGGGTACGAGAGCAAGTACCCCTACACTGCGTCCCGAGCTTCAAGTGGCTCTATGATGAGTACTTCTTGGCCGCCTGTGGCCTCGGCAGTCGGTGCTCTAGAGGTAGCCGGCCTGACGAATACTCTGTTTTTTCACGCCTTGTATACTTGGGATTTTTACTAACTTTGCTGTTTATTTCTTTCAGCCGACGCCATGAGTAAAATAACAGCATCTAAGACTGCGGCGGCCATGCTGCGGGTTTCGCTAATGAAGCAGTCGTACGCCGACTCCCCCAGCAAGGAGGCACCCTTGGTAAGCTTTGAAAACTCTTCCCCTTTAAGTTGTATTATGCATATACTAACTCTTTTTGTTTTCAGTCTGGCACTCCAAGGGCTTCTTCCTCGCAACAGCCGGACCCCAAGGCCCGGAGAACGACTGTTGCAAGCTCTCCTGGGTCTTCCAGGAAAACAGTGGCGGCTGAGAAGCAGCCGGCCACTTCTTCAAAAACCCAGGCGGGGCCGCCTAGATGTATGGACACTTGCTTGTAAAAACTCACTCTTGCTTCCTTCTTGATTAGGTCTAACTTGTTTTTCCTTCTGCTTAATGCAGCCGGCCCCCAGGGACTTGACTTGGTTGAGGTAGCCAAGTCAATGGTTAAAGTAGTTCCTCCCTCTGACAGGGAGGCGGTCAAGGGTGCCGGCACCCTTGACCTCGATGGAATTTCGGGGATCCTAGCTGAGGTATACCCTTTTGAAGTTCCAGGACGCCTGTTAGCCCTTATGATTGGAAACTGACGCCTGTTTTTCTTTGTACTTAGGCCCTGCTCCGAGTCAACAGCCTTCGCAAGCCGATTGATCGGAAAAACAAAGAGGTAAAGGCCGCAAAGGCTATGGCCGCCTCCAGCTGTGATAAAGCAATGTTTCAAATTGCCCAAAGTGAAGTACTGACCATTGATCTTCTTTATTATCAGGCGCAAGCGACCGCCGCTGTTCGGGCTCAGCTAGAGGCGGCCCAAAAGAAGGTTGACGAGCTGGAGGGGACCGTCACCAAATTTAAAGCCGAGCTGAAACCCCTTCGCCAGAAAATGCACTCTTACGAAGCCATGGAGAAATCTTTGGCTAACGTAAAAGAACGCCTGGTGAACCAGGAGAAGAGTCTTACCCAAGAGCTCTCGGACAAGGCCGAGCAAGAAAAACAAGAGCTCGTCCGGGAGATGGTGGAAGACTCCGCCCAAATCCAACGCATGACCTGGGAACGACTGTTCCCCAGTGCCGACTTTGCCTCATGGGAAAGAACGTACCGCCAGTGTTCGGAAATATATAATCAACAGATCCTGGCGGCTGCTGAAGAAGAGGCGATGGACGTTGCGTTGGAGGAGGAAGAGCCTGTTGTGGCGCTTGTGCCACTTGGGGGAAAGGCATCAAAAGATGATGCAGCGAAGGCCGAGTCCAGCAAGAAGAGTGCTGACCAGGCGGCTGCTGCTGATACTGAACTGCCCCCTTCTTAAGCTTTAAGTATATTTTTTCTTTTCACGGCCTGCGTGCCGTTTGCTTTGTAATTACCCGGCCAG